AAATAAAGAAAATATGAAATAATATAAATGAAAGGTAATTTTTATGAACTTTACTCTTTATAAATTGCACTCAAATCAACTCTCTATTTTTTAAATTTTTTTTAAAAGATTTCTTTTAATTTTTTTTATACTTTGCCTTGCCTAAAATTTAAAATATTCATGCAAATCACATGATACTTACTAAATAAATTTGGATAACTTTATGATATTGTTTATTAAAGAATCGTTGTCAAATTTCCACCTAGAATCGTTATCTAAAGCTTGGTATGATAATGAAAAGGAAAAGTAAGGCTTAAAGAAAATAGGAGATTTGATGAACAGTAATCAAAATTTGGCGTTTACAGCAGAGAATTTGAAAAGGGCTAACATCAACAGCGCAATAAAATCTAGCCATTTAGGTAGAGTGATGGCAAGTGGAGTGAAGCCTAACGCAAGAGAAGCATGCACAATTGAAGTGCAGATTCATCCTATTAAGCAGAGCATAAGGTCCTATAAAGTTATTAGAAAGTGATGGCCTCACATGTGCTCCAATTGCTTGTGGAGTAACCCTTTGTGGGACCAAAGAGTCAACCTTTTCAAGATTGCATGATGGGTAGTGAGAAGATAAAACCCACAATTTGATTGGGACATAAAGAAATTGGATGGAAAGCTTAAGCAACTATCTCACCCAACCCCTCCATGGCTATGTGTCCCCCATATTACTCTGCCTCTCATATAACCGCTTCCATATTTAGTAGGGCCCCTTTCTTTTTAAATATCATGTTTATTACAAACAAGTATATATGAATAATTACCAATTATTATTATTTTTTATTAAATATATTTTTAATTTTTATAAGTATGAATATTTTTCATTTTTTATTTTTTTTATTAATTTTTACCTTTATATACGTTAAACGTTTTGATAAAAGTTTTCAATGTTCATCAAACAAGACGAATTACATTTCACGGTCTTTCCTTATCTTTGCTTTATGCGAGATCGAGTGCAGTATAGATGTTGTATCTATTCTATACACGTCATCTCGTTCTTCAATCGTGAATTTTAAAATTTTATAAAAGCTTCTATCTTATTTATTTCTGATAAACATTTTACAAAGACCACGTTAAATATATAAATATTGTTCTTTTACTGAAATTATTGCATTATATTTTTAAAATTCATTTAATTTAATCTTTATTTTTAATCTATTTTACTTGTTTCTTAACTCTTTAACAACCTCTCAAATTTAAGCTTTTAAACTTCTTGATTGTTAATTTTTTCAAAATTTTAATTAAATAGAAATTAGAACTATATTATTTTTTAATCAATTAAAAAATATTATGTTTTTAATTTATATATATATATATATATATAAATACTAGTTTAAAATATTTTGATTTCTATGTAAATATTAATTTATTATTGTAAAATTATATATAATATTCCAGTTACCAATATATAATTTGTGTAAAACTTGAAAAACAATGCCTTTTTTATATTAAACGTAAATAGTAAATACCAATACACAAAATGCATTTAATGAAAGGAGGTTAAATAGAGGAAGAAACACAAGCATAAAATAGTAGGATTAATAATTGCATTTTTTATCTTTATATTTGAACATATATGTAATTTTCGTCTCTCTAATTTTAATTATTCAGATTTAGTTACTTTAATTTTTAAAATATTTAAATTATGTTCTCCATCCCAAAATATTATTAATAATTAATAAAATATAATAAAAGTATGATATTTTATTGATTTATATAAATAAATAAAAAATATATATACAAAATATTTAAATAAAAATACAAAATAAAATGTATAACATATAATAAAATTCTTAATTTTGAAGTGAAGGACTTAGTTTTAGCAACTGAAAAACTATGAAAACTAAATGTAAGTAATTAAAATTAGATAAATAAAGAAACCAAAAGTACAAATAAGTCAAAATAGCAATACATGATTTTTACATAATTCGAAGTAGTCTAACTTAGAAAAATATGTCATTTACTAGTTTTAATTTTAGACCTCTAATTTGGTTAATTTCTATTTTGTCCCCCACGTCTTTGTAATTGTATTAATAATGATAATATTGTAAGAATCTTGATCCTTGGTTATATTCACACCTTGCTTATTTGTCCATTTATTTGATTTTTCTTTTTGTTTCGAGCATGGAAGGAGAAGCAATTGAAATGCGTGAGTTTAATTGTAGTGTGCTAGAGCGTGAAATTGTGGGTACACCCTGAGATGGGATTGCCATCAAGGAAGGTACAATATTAAGTGGTAGAACGCTAAGTAGTAGGATAATCTGCCCAATTCGCATTTGAAAATTTTAATACTACTTAATTAATTTAATGTCACTTAATTTAGCAATCTCAACCATTTTGCCACGTATATCTATAAATTTGTAAATATTAATTCTCAATATCCATCATCATACTTTTACTTTTAAGTCAGAAATTTTTTGAAAATTCTTTTCAGCTTAGGTTGAGTTCTTTTGATTTCAATTCGCTGTGCTTTTATTATCAATTTGTAAACTTAAGAGAATCATTTTTCTAATTATAATTTTAAATTTTTTAGCAATTACTTTAGAATTTTTTCAAACTTGTCTTTTTGTGTAGCTATTTTGATTTCTGCTACGAAATTTACCTTTGCTTTTTTTTTTTTTTTCTATTTTAAGCATCAAATTTCTTTTTCTTTAATTTGGTAACCTTAATTTTATAATTTTAAGTTCTCACTTTTCTTAAGATTAGGTAAAACAAAGTTTATCCCCTTTGGCTAATAGTGTTAGATGAAAAAAAAGGTTAATATTAGGCCAAAGTTGGCTAATCAAGAGAATAATACATAGGTAAGCTTCTTTGACTTTTGCTTAATTAACAAAAAAATAATAATAATGTGTTTAACACTTTTACTCACACACAATATAATAATTTCAACAAGAAACAATATAAATTTTGATATATGTGCGGAGATGGTAATCATTCTTTGAAATAATTTTTAACTTTTCTCTTAACTTATCAAAATTCATAAAGGCATTTAATTTTACAATTCATCGATGATAATTCAAATTTTAAGATAAAATTAAAATCTAAGACTTATTAATATTTATATTCTTAAAATCTCAATAATTTACAATAACCAAATTTACTAAAACTTTTCAACAATTTTCAACGATTTTTAATAAATTTTTTTAATTTTTTTGATAAAAACTTCCAATTTTTTTTTTAAAACGTCACTTTACTTCCAAATTTAAAGCATAACATTGTGATCAATGTTATTAATTAGCAATAATCAAACTAATATATAAATAAGGTAAATTATACCAAAGTAGAGTGTGTGAGAAAGTTAGGGTACTCTCTGTTTTTCTATTTTTTTTGTGCAATAAAGAGTAAAACTTATGTGTGAAAATTGAGTGTGTCCAAGTGCTCCTACATTACAAAAATCAAATAAAATTTTAATTAGTTATAACATAAAGCAATTATTAAGGATTCTAATTTGAAAACATTTGATTATCCTACATATACAGGATACTCATGTGAGTGATGGTAAACTTGAGCCTACGATAAAAAAAAAATGTATATTTTTATTGTATACATTAGGGGTGAAGGGTTATAAAATATAATGTATAGAAAAGTCAAATTTATCCAAGATCATTGTCAATAGAGATGTTAAATTTGATGAGAGGACAGTAATAAATCAAAAATAAAAATCTTACAAAAATTAGACAAATACAAATTATTGTATTAAAAAACAGATTGAGCTAAAAATTAATGTTAAGAAGATAGAATAAGAAGATACAAATCAACTATATATTTTTAAGTGTTACTTAAAGTGAAACAACATAATGGATTTGATAATAGAGATCTTAATAAAAAAATAGAGAAAAATCATACAATAATGTTACTAGCAGGACAAGATGACAAATTTAAAGACTTTAAAGATATTTGAATTTTGCTATATGTGTATTAAACTCGTAAAAATTTTTATAAATGTAATTTTGGATTTAAACACTATAATTTTAAATATACTTCATGGTACTTTGTAACATTACTATTATAGTAAGAGAAAATTTCTTTATAATTTTTTTATATTTAATTATTATTTAATGGAAAACTTATTCTATCAAGTTATTTACATATTTGGAATATATTTAATTTTAATTTCTTAATAATAAACACTTAATAAAAAGACGTAAACGATAACACTTTAAAACATCTTACACAAAATTTTCTGTTAGTTTTATTGTAGTAGTAGAGTTGAATATAAGTTTTGTATATTAACATAAACTACACGTAAATGAAAAAAAATGTTAAAAAATGTATTGTTATTGTAAAGAAATTATTTTGAGATAGGTACAACTTATAATTAAAAAAATTTTATATCCTAGAAGATATATTAGATGTACTAAATATTTATTAATTATCATAAATACATATGAACAAGGTTGTGCATAAGACACGTAAATTAACTTTCATTTAAATAATAAAATGAAATTTTATTTCATCCAATTTCTTTCTATTATATTTCACTTATAACATCTAATCATTATTCAAATTAATTTTTCTAAAAATAAATGGATGAGTAAAATAAGAAACAAAATGTTATTAAATTAAATTTAAATATTTTATAAATTTTAATTTATCCTATTCTAACATAAATTTTTTTTTCTCACCTCAAACTTTTATAAAACTGAAGTAAATAAACAATTATATGATAAAAAAAAATCGTTTATTAACTGGTACCTTTATTAAGATACTGTAGAAATGCAGGTCGATAAAATTTGGAACAACCTTAAAATAGACAGGAGAGTCAGAAGATTTACTGAGTGTTGACGTGGCATAATAAGATTGGGTGGGAGTGTGACGCGTAGAAAAGAATGGGAGTATTGAGTACAACTACGGCTACAACTAAACTACAAGGATTTCAGCGCCTACCTACCAAACCACGAACACAAAGGAGGTGCTTCTCTACCCTTCACAATCACAATCACAATCACTATCAAAAGCAAACAAAACAAAACAAAACAACCAAAAATTTTCCCAAGAAAACTCCACAAAACCTTTTCTTTCTTTCTCTTCTGCATCACACTTGAAAAGGTTGCCATCAAAACATTGACAAAAACAACAACAAAGAAAAGAAAGAAAGACCCTTTTGTTTTGGTGTTAAGAGAGAGACAATGAGATTGAAAATGATCCCATAAGTGAAAGGTGAAAGCATGCTTTGTCGGCCATTAAAACTTCACTCCAAAAAGATTGATCCTTCTTACTCATTCATTCCTTCCCCTACAAACAGAGAAAGGCCACCAATAGTGCCACCCCTGAATATTCATTGAACTTCGAGTTTAGCCTCTTTCTCAAAGCCCTTTGGATTTTTCTCCTCAAAATCTTGGCCTTTTCTGTTTCAGATCCAAGATCCCCACTTTTCATGCCAAAAGGCAAGGTGGGTATATTCTATTTTTGGCTAAAGTTTCGTTAACTCTTCCTTCATGCTTCTATCTCAATTTTCCTTCACAAGGACTTATTGATCCCAAGTGTTGGACTTGCTGCTTTGGTTATTATCTCCTTTTTGATGAGTGATGGTGGGGTTAGAATTTGAAAGGTATGTTTTTGTTTTTCCTTCCTGTGTAATATACATGTGTATCTTTGGTTTTGCCTTTGAACTGATTCATTAGGATTATTGGAGTTGTTACATATGATTTTAAGTTCATTGGGCCTACTTCACCTCTGAATTTTGATATTTTGTTAAATATAAAGGTTGCCAAAAAATTTCTTATTTAAATCGAAAGTTAAAATGGATTTTGGGGCTACACAATGACTGATTGATGGTTTGCTTGTGCTGCAGGTCTTGAATATTAAGATGTCTGGGGATATCAAGGAGGGGAGAGCTTTGGCAAAAGGGTATTCAGTTATTTTACTGCTATTGATTTTACTTGTTTGTTGCACTGCGGGGTTGAATACAGAGGGTCAAATCCTCCTTGAGCTTAAGAATGGACTTGATGATAAATCTAATGTTTTGGGAAATTGGAAGTTTACTGATGCAACTCCATGTGGGTGGATAGGTGTGAATTGCAGTTATGATTATAATGATAGGAATAATAATCCTGTGGTTGTGTCTCTCAATTTGAGTTCAATGAATCTTTCTGGAACTCTAAATGCTTCAAGCATTGGGGGTCTAACCCATCTAACTAATCTCAATCTTGCTTTCAACGAGCTTAATGGGAATATCCCCAAGGAGATTGGTGAGTGCTCGAGTTTGGAATATCTTTACTTGAACAACAATCAATTTGAAGGGCCAATTCCTGCTGAATTGGGTAAGTTGTCTGCTTTAGAGAGTTTGAATATTTGCAATAACAAACTCTCTGGTGTGATTCCAGAAGAGTTTGGAAACTTGTCTTCATTGGTTGAGTTGGTGGCCTACAGCAACTTTCTTGTAGGACCATTGCCTAATTCCATTGGAAACCTTAAGAATCTTGTGAATTTCAGAGCTGGGGCAAATAACATTACTGGTAGTTTGCCAAAGGAAATTAGTGGATGTAAGAGCTTAGTACGCCTTGGTCTTGCACAAAATCAGATAGGAGGGGAGTTACCAAGTGAGATTGGAATGCTTGACAGCTTAAAAGAACTGGTTTTGTGGGGGAACCAGTTGTCAGGACTTATTCCTAGAGAGATTGGGAATTGTAGCAGCCTTGAGACCCTTGCTTTATATAGTAATAATCTCGTTGGTTCTATACCTAAGGAGATTGGGAACCTCAAATCATTGAGGTGGTTATATCTTTACAGAAATAAGTTGAATGGAACCATTCCAAGGGAAATTGGAAATCTTTCTTCATGTTTAGACATTGATTTCTCAGAGAATTCATTAATAGGTGGTATCCCTTCAGAGTTTGGCAAAATAAGTGGTCTAAGTTTGCTCTTTCTCTTTGAGAACCAGCTAACTGGTGTTATACCAAATGAGTTTAGTAGCTTGAGAAACCTCACTAAACTTGACCTGTCCATAAACAATCTTACAGGTCCAATACCACTTGGCTTCCAGTATTTGACTAAAATGTATCAGTTGCAGCTTTTTGACAACTCCTTAAGTGGTGTTATTCCTCAAGGACTTGGACTTCGTAGTCCTCTCTGGGTTGTTGATTTCTCTGACAACAACTTGGCAGGAAGAATACCTCCTCATCTATGCGGAAATTCTCGGTTGATGTTGTTGAATTTGGCATCTAATCGTCTTTCTGGAAACATACCAACCGGGATACTAAACTGTGAATCATTGGCACAGTTGTTGTTGCTTGGAAATGGCCTTACTGGTGGCTTCCCTTCAGAATTGTGTAAGCTGGAGAACTTGACTGCCATTGATTTGAATGAGAACAGGTTCAGTGGTCCACTCCCTCCTGAGATAGGGAAATGCCTCAAATTGCAAAGGCTTCATATTGCAAACAATTACTTCACATTGGAGTTGCCTAAGGAAATAGGAAATCTATCTCAACTGGTGACCTTTAATGTTTCATCAAATCTTTTCAGTGGAAGAATACCACATGAAATTTTTAGGTGTCAAAGGCTCCAGAGGCTTGATCTCAGTCAGAATAACTTCACTGGTTCCTTGCCAGGTGAGATTGGAGTACTTGAGCACTTGGAGATTCTCAAGCTTTCAAACAATAAGCTGTCTGGATACATTCCTGCAGCATTAGGCAACCTGTCTCATTTGAACTGGTTGTTGATGGATGGCAATTTGTTTTTTGGTGAAATACCTCCTCAGATGGGTTCTCTTTCAAGCTTGCAAATTGCAATGGATCTCAGTTACAATAATCTTTCTGGAAGAATACCATCTCAGCTTGGCAATCTCAACATGCTTGAGTATCTCTTTCTCAATAATAACCATTTGGATGGTGAAATTCCTGGCACATTTGAAGAGCTATCAAGTTTGCTGGGGTGCAATTTCTCATACAATAACCTCTCTGGGCCTATTCCTTCCACTAAGATTTTCCAAAGTATGGCTCTAAGCAGCTTTATTGGTGGTAACAATGGCCTCTGTGGTGCACCTCTTGGTGACTGCAACACCAATCCAGCTTCTCACTCTGACCAGTCAAGGAAAGGTATTGACTCTGCACGCGCTAAAATAGTCATGATCATTGCAGCTTCTGTTGGTGGTGTTTCTCTCATTCTAATTTTAGTTATTTTATATTTTATGAGGCGTCCTAGGGAGTCTATTGATTCCTATGGAGGCACTGAGCCTCCCTCACCAGATTCAGATAACTATTTCCCTCCTCCAAAGGAAGGTTTCACATTCCAAGATCTTGTTGAAGCTACAAAAAGATTTCATGAGAGTTATGTTATTGGTAGGGGAGCATGTGGAACAGTTTATAAGGCAGTGATGAAGTCTGGTAAGACCATTGCTGTTAAGAAGTTAGCATCTAATAGGGAAGGCAACAACATTGAGAATAGTTTCAGGGCTGAGATATTGACTCTGGGAAGGATAAGGCATCGAAATATAGTGAAGTTGTATGGCTTTTGCTATCACCAGGGTTCCAATCTTCTGCTTTATGAGTACATGGAAAGAGGTAGCTTAGGTGAACTGTTGCATGGTTCTGCATGTAATCTGGAGTGGCCAACTCGGTTCATGATTGCTCTTGGAGCTGCTGAGGGCCTTGCTTACTTGCATCATGACTGCAAGCCAAAGATTATACATCGCGATATAAAGTCTAACAACATTCTGCTGGATGAAAATTTTGAGGCCCATGTTGGTGATTTTGGTTTAGCAAAAGTGATTGACATGCCACAGTCAAAATCTATGTCTGCAGTTGCTGGATCTTATGGCTATATTGCTCCTGGTAAGCTCCTGTTTTGTAATAATCAGTTAATGCAGCACAAGCTTTCTTCTTCACTTTTTATATTGTTTTGACAGATAGTGTGGCCTGTCTAGGCAGATCATATTATTGAGTTCTTATTACGATTTACATGACAATAGAAATTTTCACATGAATCACATCCTTGAATTTTGCATCCTCATTTCTAAGATGACACTAGATTAGTCCTCATGGAAAAATGTTTTAAAAAAATGAAAATCATATGCCACATGGATTTTGTTCGTGTCATTTGGTATATATCACAAGTTATGTTTCTTAGAGTTTCACTTTTTTCTGCACCATGTATTCAACACCTTAGGAGACTAAACTTGATTAGTTGTGAATTACTGTTTGGTGAACCATTTTATCCTGTATGGCAGAATATGCATATACCATGAAGGTCACAGAAAAGTGTGACATATATAGTTATGGTGTTGTGCTATTGGAATTGCTAACTGGAAGAACTCCAGTTCAGCCACTGGAGCAAGGAGGTGATCTTGTGACATGGGTAAGAAACCATATCCGGGACCATAACAACACATTGACACCAGGGATACTTGACAATCGTGTGGATCTTGAAGACCAAACCACCGTGAATCACATGATCACTGTTTTGAAACTTGCTTTACTATGCACAAGTGTATCTCCTTCTAAGAGGCCATCCATGAGAGAAGTTGTGTTGATGCTCATTGAGTCCAATGAGCGAGAAGGAAACTTAACACTCACTCAAACATACCATGATCTTCCTTCCAAAGATGGCATGTGAAGAAGTATGCAACTTCTTGACATTTTGTTAACAAAAATGATTTTTTTTCTGCTCATTTTTCTTTCCCACAAGAGAAAGTAGGAGATGATTCTTGTACATTCTTTCACTCCATTATGGCTTATGCCAATAGACTTAACATCATAGCAGTCTTTATTAATTTCAAGTCTCTGTATCTTCTTTTGGAATTCAGTATATATAGTAACTTTATTGTATAGTTGGGAGTTACCATTAAATGTGTATCGTGGAGGTTATGTTATGGGAGATAGGGAAGGATAATAAATATGAGTTGTTCATATTACATGTTGCAAGTCTCATTGAACTGATTAGTGAACAATTGATTAATTTTCATTTTAATGTATTTTAGTGAATTTTTTTTCATTGAATTGGGACCCGGCTTTTAGATTTCTTTTAGAAGTTGTTGTTTGGATATTGATTATACTGATGAAACTTTGCAGTTGAATTTTCAGACAGTATGCCTCCCATCAAATTGCTATAGTTTATCATGCAATATATTTCATGGATGCTGAAGATGTTATTTACTAGGACACATTCAATTCCTCAAAACCTTTATTTTAATGTAATTTCTGTGTTTCATCCCCATAAATTTCCGACAAAGATGTGTCCTAATCACTACCCTGCATGAGTTTAGATTGTATTGTCATATCAAATCTACATGTAACCATAATATGGGTGGAGAAAGAAATATAGTTGTGCAGTCCAACCTTCCAATTGTTTTATGCGCTTCTATAGCTTTACTGCTCTCAATCACATACAACCTTCCAATTTTTTATGATTGTTTCTAATAATATTATTTTTTGGAATAAATTCTAAAGTACTCCTTACATTCTTGTAATTATATAATTTCTCGAAGCACACTTTATCTAAATATCTATATTATATTAATCCTTTCACTTGTGTCACTGTATCTATGTTATAACCACTGTTAAAACTTTTGCCAGAAGAGTAAAGTTACCACTAAAATTAAGGAAAAACTGCACCATAATATACACATGGATTAAGTGGCTCAAAGAAAAGAACACCACTAAGTTGATTTAAATTTAGAAAATAGAATTTACTTTCAAATTTATGATTAATCCTTGTCCAGAAGTTGATTTTATCAAGATTATGCCACAATACAAAAGGTTCACAAAATTCAGTCAGAATTTGTGAAGATTTGAGAGTGATTATTTGATCAATTAAAGTGGTTGTACATTTCTGTATCCAAGAGTTATTATTAATATATTAATATGACGAAAATTTCTAACAAAAGAATTATGGCTGGGTATAGTATTTTCCATTTCATTATATTGCTAAACACATGCTTAGAAGCTAATCCATTGCTTGAACTATTATTTTGAAATGAAATATAAGTAAAATTAAGGTGACTTCTGAATAAAGGAAAGAAAAAACTAATTTCTTTACTTGCATTGATATGCTCTTGGGTTGGCATTATAGAATTCCATGCATCTATCAGTGACATTTTTAAGTTTACTGCATGTGGGTGTCCTTTATTCAATACTTAATTTCGGTGGAAGTATTTTTTTTGGATATTTTGTTTTATGTGCTTTTTAGTCAATATACTATCGATTGAAGCAAAAGCAACTTATTTTAAGCAAACTTGATGGACCACTTTGATTTGAACTATTCAAATCAAACTATTATTAATACTTTTATATTGCAATTATATCAGCCTTTTAACAAAATAATCATAAATTCTTTTGGTTTGTTTTGTCTGATTCGCCAACAAAATTTTGTTGATATGTCCATCTCTTTTGTTTGCTTTCATAACTTAATAAAAAAGTATTTCTTTCTTTGACGCAAAATTTAAGTTGCTCACTTTGTTTGGATTAAAATATATATATAAGAGAAAGAAAAATAAGCACTTATCTCTTTTTGACAACATATGATTTTATTTTATTTTATATGATATCGTAACATCGAGAATAATTTATTTATTATCATTGAATAGGATAAACTTTATTTTATCACTTAATTTAATTAATTTATGAAACAACGTATGGGTTTGGGGAAAAAAATCATATAAACTGACGGGTGACATTTAATTTTTTTAGATGTACAGTGTTTTATATAATAATGTATGTATAGATATAAATAAGTTAAATGAAATTAAATTTTTCTGACGATGGTACATAAAATGGAATAAATTAATGGAAGGTATATGAAAAAATAAAATAAAAATCAGAACAACACATGGGGCTGAGTTAGCATATTCCATTGTTCCAGAGAGGATATTACGTGCAGGAGGCTAAATTAAAATATTCTTATTTAAATTTAAACAATATTACTGGTAAAATTGAAAGCAAAAATGTGATCGCCAAGCTTCACCACACTACAAGATGAACAACGCCCATAAAGAAAAAAGGAAAAGAAGTCTTTAAGAACAGGTGCCAAATTTCAACTTTAAAATGGAACAACTATTTTTGAAAACTTTGGTCTATCAATGTATTTAAAAGGTTTGTCAATCTGGAAAACTTAATCAATTTGAAAATGTTGGACATTATTTATTGAATACATTTATGTTAATTGATTATCCTAATCAATCAAATCAAAGCAAGCTATCTGCAAGGCTATCTTTTAGCTGACTCCATGGGAGTCATCTTAAAAGGCTACTTTTGTGCTTATCTTTTGTAAACAAAAATAAAAATTCTAAGCAACACAGCCACATAACATAATTACTATTGAAGATTATTTTTCTTGACAACAAAAAGCTTATACACACAAGTGAATGATTAAGAATCCATTACAAGAGAATAATTTAATGTACAACGATTTTACTTTCTGTAACTAATAAAATAATTAATATCTAAGCCCTTCCTAATTGCAACATAATCAATTGAAACAAGGGATTCAGTGCAACAGGAAGGGTCATAGGACGGTAGTGCTTGAGACATGAAAGAAATCCACTGCATTTAACAAACAGTGGTCCAAGTGAATCCTTGAAGAGCGAGTATATTAAGCATAGAATCAGAGGACAGAGGGAGCTCTTACTGCTCGAGAAGGAGCTGTGAGACTGATGTATACCAAGTATACATCATCTTTTACTTGCCTGAAATAAGGACAAGGCGTTTTACCAAGTATACCACTCAAATTTTTTTCTAATAAATTTTAATGAATTGTAACGAAAATGTAGATTGTTATAGTAAGTTGCAAGGAATTATGTTCGTGAGCTTTAAAAACTAAAAAGACCTTTTTTTTAAGATAATATTTTATATTTTGTATTCATGGATATAATTCATATGGACATAATTTATTTTAACTGAACCACTTTAATTTTTATGTGTTACGCTTCTTTCTATTATTTTTTTTCCGTCATAATAATTAATATCAAAGCCTAGTTTTCCTTAGGCCTGTTGTAGATATCATAATATCTTCATATAAATTTTATATTGAGAAATTCAATAAATCTAATGATTACTACGTGAAAATTAAAAATGAAGTAAGTTTTGGTGCATTGAGGAAGAAGAACTAGGAAAAAGAAGGAAGAAGAATTTTATGTTCTTCCTTTTAGGAAGAAGAATTTGGACTCAAGACTCCCAAGAAAGTATGAAAAAATAGCTCGAATGATATGACCTTTGTAACATCATTCCCTCATTAATCTATTTTCTCTTATAAAAATATGCAAATGTTATAAATTAATTTATAAAAATGGATAAAAGATAGATGAATGTAGAAAATGTTTCTAAATGCTTAGATTCTAATTTGAAGAAAAGGTGAAAAATTTAAACCTCATATATACATTTCAAAACTCTCAATTCTCAATTTTAAAACAATCTAAACAATCACATTAATAATTATTCTCATCAAATTTTATCAAAATCTTTAACTCCAAATTAAAACTTTCATCAATATAATTACGTAGAGTAAATGACTTTGAATAGAAAATATTCATGAATATCTTTACAATTCTTCAGTAAATACATTAAACTCTTTAGAGCATCCCTTTCCTACCATTCCTTGCAGATATGACTCTAGAACGAACAAACCTTCTTTACCTGAAAAATAGTTATAAGGGTGAGCATCCCTTACCCACTAAATCTTAAATTATAATATAAAGAAAACAATGCATACAATAAGTCAAATACTTTTCATTTCTAACAAATTCAGTTGTCATTTGACTAATTAACATCTATTTCTCATTGTATAATACTATAACTCAATTATTCAGTTCATTCTACTTTATCATATTAATTTCAATACATTACTAAAATTTCTATTCAAAGTTCATACATTCTAAATTTCTTCTAGCATACACATGCATTATAGTTTCTATTATTCTTGAGAATTAATTAACCCATTCACACCAATTTCCTCCGGACTTAATTTATCAATCAAACATACAATCATAAGACATAGAAACATATCACTTTCCACTTAACCAAATATCATCTACTCCATAATTTCGTGCCACATCACTTTACACTTTATTCATTTTCATCCGAATATTTCACCAATCCAACGGTACTTTAGGTATTCTCGGGCCCCTAAATCACTGCCAACGTACTCTCTCTAGTTACGAAGGACTTACGCAGCATGAATAGTCGTTAGTGAGCCAAACCACACACGGATACAACGCGTGCGTTCACAGCCTTCCAAACAATGGTATAGAGTCAGTCAAGAAATGAGCGCGAGGCCTATAAATGCTTCTCACTTTTACAATGTGTACACATCAGTGAATTGCATTTACCACTCTCATTTCCCCATATTTACACAATCAACTCCAGACCCTATATCCATTGTATCCCTAAATTATCCATACCATATCTCAACTGTGGCACATCACATTATACTATTCATATGTAGCAACTACACTAATCGATATATTATAACATATGAGTTATAATCTCATCCATTGATGTACTATAACTTAAATATCATAATCGCATCAATCGGTGTATTTGTAAATACACATACTAGTATTCCTTTTTTCTGTCCATTATACATATCATTACTTTTTATATCACATCGTTTCCAGAGGTCAAACTCATATATTTATATTTACTGTTATAATTTCCATCCTTTTTTCTCATTAGAATATCCATCAAAACATATTCAGTAATTCATATCTATACCAACCAAACTCTTATTCATACATTAATATGTTTCTTCTTCTTCCCAATATTCCCTAAACTTCATTATATTCAAATAATCCTTAAATTTCTTATTTCAATACATCAACTCAAACTGTACCAAATCATCATACAATTCAGTACATTTACTATGTTATATTACTTCATTACACATTTGTCATACAAAAATAAATTAGCACTAATTTCACACAATCATCATATTCATAATATTTCAACAAAACATTGATAATACAGTAACACCTTATCACAAAATACGCTGGGGTCGAACACCTTCAGACTCAACCCAAATCGTGGAATCTCATAATACTTAACACTTGTAATATTTTCTCAGTTCCAATAAGGTCTTCTAACCTAGAGTTTAGTATTCTCTCTCTTTCATCACTTAACTCATATATTTCCAAACAAACCCAATACTTTTTTTTATACCAAAAATATACTTTTACCTTATGTTTTCATAAAATCTCATAGATTTATTACCGAAATAGGTTACTCAGATTCTTATAGGGTTATTACATATAGAGATACGACTAAGGCTCGAGAATACTCCCCTTACTTGGAAATGAGTCTAAACACTAAGTTCTTTGTGAGCTCTAAGAGAAACTCCACGCTTCAATCAATGAAACTTTTCGAGAACTAGAGTTCTTTCTAACGTCACAATATAGATTACTAATAGAAGGAGGAAAAACTCAAAAATAGAAACTAGATTCGAAGGTTTAACCCCAGAAACTTACTCAGATTCGAGAAGAATGGACGTTAGAGCCCCAATTTAGCAGAGATTCCATAAGTATTGAGGGTTTCTCTAAGATAGGAGAGGGAGAGAATAGAGAGATATTAGAGAAAGAGAAGTGATTTTGGTGAGAAATAAAATTTCTCAACGTAGAAATTCTTAAATACCCTTCAAACTCGCGCGATCTTGCTTGAGCGAGCACACCTCGCTTGAGCAAGCACACCTCGCTTGAGTGAACTAATTAGACAATGATTTTTCTGATATCCTCGCTTGAGCGAGAGGTATTCTCACCTGAGTGAGGACAAGTCCAGAGAGTTCCAGATTTCTCTGTGACACTTTGCCTGAGCGAGCTCCATCTTACTTGGGCGAGCTTTCCTTCTCACCTGAGCGAGAGGACAATTAAGGCAACCCTATCCCTTCTCGCTTGAGCAAGGCCTACCTTGCTTGAGTGAGATTGCTTCAGAACGCCCCATTCTAAAATATCTGTCTTGCTTGAGCGAGGCATATCTCGCTTGAGTGAGAAATCCTTGTACCAAAATTCTTCCAGAAATTCTTTATACTCTCTTCTAAGTGCACTCTAATACTACTTAATATTGAACAAACATAATTTACCAAAAAATGAAAAGAGGATATTATAACCTTACCATCACGCTAAAATAAAAGGAACAATGTTGTAGTTATTGGTTTGGGAAGACCCATTGTTAGGTGTTTCATTTTTCTTTTTCAATTGAAGCTGAGTATTCTAATTTCACATATTATAAAAATATCTCAAATTACTCATGAACACAGGTTACATTAATTAAATCATGTTAATTTTAGTAATAAGCTTTTTGTTGATTTTTTTCATTTTTATCATAATAATTCACTTTAGTTTCTAATTTTATAAAACATAGTACATTTTATTTACATTTTGTTTACTTTTGTGTTTTTATTACCTTTTATCAATAAAAAAATATTAAAGTGAAAAATATTTTACTATTTTTTATAAAGTTAAAAATTAAAGTAAAGTTTAAAAAATTGAAGGGACAAAACGTAAAAAAAGGTGATAACAAAAGTAGGAAGTAAAGTAGTTATTTACTTGCTACTTGCATCTACTTTACTTATTGCAGTGGATATGTTTATGATTCTCTCATTGCTTATTTCAATTCTTTATAGATGATGCTCAAGGAGGAATGAGATTGACACGCACTATTTTTGCTTGGAGGCAATAGATAGTGTTTGAGATATGATATTACCAAAGGATAAAATCGTGTTATTACTTATTTTATTAATTAAAAAGATATTCATTCTAAAGTTATAAAAAGCGTTTTGTCTTTTTGTACTTTTGTATAAGTTGTTATAAAATAATTTTTTATAAGAATATCATTTCTCAGAGTAGTGATTTATAATGATAATGACTTAGATTTGAGGAAATCGTGATTTATAATAAATTTTATTACATATAAAAAATGTCCAAAAAATATTTCCTTAGTTTAGGTTTGAGGAATTGGATCACATATGCACGCATTCGTATCCATGCATCATATATAGTAAAGGATACAAATGAGTTGAGTCTAAGATTGTTGTCTATTAGTGTTGTATAATAGGTTTGCATCTTGATATTTTGGAATGTGTATGTGTTAATACCAGTTTAGGATTCTTGTAGGGACATTGATTTTCTTAAATAAGAAGCAAATGCACAGTGATGGAATAAATATTTAGGTGTTCTATTTGTATGGATAGATGTTGATTGTTTGTGTTGTTTCACAAGTGGAGGATGATGAAAGATTGTTGTTATAAGTTCAAAAATTAAAATAAGAATGGATATGGTTTGTTTGTGGGAAGCTCACATACCCACAAAAAGAACATTCACCTATGAACCATATTAAAATAGTATAACACGTGCCGCGACTAAATTCATATTCCGATCTAAAATCAAAAAAATTGAACTAATATAATAATTTATCAAATATTTGTCAAAAAGACTTAAGCTTGTGTCTACCAAAACTAATATTTAATAAAATATTTATCTTAAAGTAATTAATTTTAAGATTTTCTATTACGGAACTTTATTTATTTATTTCCAACAAAATTAATTTTCATGTTGGATAAGCATGCAATTGGCTAGCATAAATAATAGTGCATTTTGAGTTTATTAGAAAGGAAAAGAATCCGGGATTTAATGGAGTGGACACTTTCTTTCTTTGGCTACCTTTTTAATCTCTCTCTTTTAAGATTAGAACCAATCTTAGAATTAACAATAAATAAGGTAGATTTTTAAATTGCATTCTTTACTTTTTTAAGATGAATTTTACGCCACTTAGGTTATTTGTCATGTGTCATCACTAGAATTATAGAACTAGCATTTTTTTTTATTTGTCGCTTTCTTTTTCTCTATCGACACAAATTCATCCTTGTACAAGCCCAAGTTTTTCGGTTCTGGTGATGGAAACGGTGAGGTAATGTTTGTTCTATGATCGTAGACAGAGATATCGAAATTGCTAATGCAAAGGATTAACACACAAACGTTAATGGTACATAATTTTTAGTGGTGATAATATGTAAGAAAATTCTAAATTACACTTGAAAATTTATAATGTATCGTGGTTTTTCTGTTTCATTCAATTATTTTTCCTTAGCTACTATGCAATTTTCTGACCTCAAGAATTCTGGGAAATTACTTATATTTCTCTGGCCACATACGATAAAATGATTGTATATTGGGAATAAGGTTTCTTCTTCTTTATTCTCTCTTGTTTTTTATATATAACAAACATTGAACTCTAAATTATGCAATAGTAATTCTTATTAATTATATTATACAGGTTTGTTAACTTGATCTATATCAGTTTTGGGAATTTATTGTTGTTCCACCTGAAACTGAATTTTATGCAAATTTCTGTCAAAGGCAGGATCCAAAATGCTGAATGTAATAATCTGTATAAGCTAGTGATGCTAAAAATGTAGAATTGCTTGTTCATCTAATTCTTGATAATTGTTGAGTGACATGGATCAGGTTTATTAAGCTGGAATTATCATAAACTAGAGTCACTAGATCACGTAAATCAATCATCACATTGAATCTGGGTAGCTATGGGAAAGCGAATTCGGGAGAAAGAGAGTGGAATGTCTAATGGAAATAGTAGTCATCCTACTCATCCAGGACGTGTATGGGGAATTCTTCATATTATTAAGTACCATCATTGGCGTCATGTCAAGAGAAGGCTTACACACAGGAGGCATGGTGGTGGAAGAAATGATGCAAGTAAGAGTACACTTTGTTCTATAGATATGGATAACTAACCAGTATTTGCATTGAGACATTAGTTAAATAATTAAAAAGTATAATAATACACTCTTGATTTTTAGTATACTCCCAGCGTGCTTCTAAGTAAAACAATTTATTTATTGATTCTTTAACTTACGGGTACCGATAAATATTGCTCTATATATACTTAACTAAAGCCAATTTATTTATTGTATTTTATCTATGTATATAACTGTGTATGTGTATTGGTCTATTATTGTGTTTGTGAGCCTAAATAGCCTATGAGATTGCAAAAGAAAATTTGAAACTAGTAGTTTATTCTAAGTATTTGTTCGGGCATTCTTTATTCTGCTGGTGATATGTCACAAAGTTTCTCTTTCCACTTCATAAATGTCAAAGTGTCTCTCACTTTACAGGAGCTGAAACTTCTGATGATTCTGTTATTGATACTATGCCAGAACATTGTAATCCAGCATTGTCTAATGTAAGTACAGGATAATAATTTGGTTGCTTTCATTTATTCTTGGGTAGTTGTTTGTTTTGGTTTTAGTCCTAGTGGCTATTGTGTGTCAACTTATCATCAACCATATAATTTTTCTTTATCCCATTTAAAATATTTAATTTTCGGTTAAACTCATCTGGCATTTTAGAGCCTTTAGATTCTTATTTTTGAACATTATGTTCATAAAGGGAACATATTGAAAGTAGTATCTAATTTAAAGTTTTCCAGGTTGAAGGAAAGGTGGTACACTCCACCCCACCCACAAAACATTCTATCAAATCTCGATTAAAATCACTTCTTCATGAAGATACATACAAAAAGAAGATTAGACATAAGAGAAGCTCAACTTGCCCAGCAAAGTCAGATGTAGCTCGTGCCAAATCTGTTCACCAGTTGGAAGTTGATCCACTGAGTGAATTACTATTAACTGTTGAGAGCCCTGAACCAGTGCTAGAAACCTTTCAAAACCATCTTGCAGCTGGCACATTGGAGGTATTGTCACCAGTTTTCTCTGAGAAGCCAATTGCCAACAATGACAAATGTGTGCACTGTGGCACAGCTTTTTCCAGTGACATTTCGGAACAAAGCAAAGTTCATAAGCACTTTAAATGTCCTAATCAAGGATTGCCAGAAGAGAAATCGATGAATGCGAAGATACTTACAACTGATGCTTCACCCCATCTTTTCAAGGATTTTCTTGATGCTTTGGATGTTATCAACACAAACAAGGACTTTCTGTTGAAATATATACAGGATCCAGGCTCTCCTATGCCATTCCACACTCATACTGAACAATCTTTACGCGGCAAAACAAGAAGAACCAAATCTATCTCATTTCCTATAGGCTCTTCATCAGGAAGCAAAGACACTGAAACAGGCCAACTCTTAAACCAAATGGTAGATGATTGGTTCAAGGATAAAGGGAGTGAATTACAAATTCATAGTAACATGCAAAATGATTCCAAGCCAGAGTCCTCAGAAGATATTCACCAACACTCCACATCATCAGGTTCTTCACATAAAGTTGATAAATATGATGAAGAGTATAATAAAATTTCTTCATCAGTTTCATCCCCAGTTCCTAACCAAGTGAAAACTAGGCACTTCAAGGATCTTCGAAAGAAGATGAAGCATATAATTCAAGAGAGTAAGAATGAGAAGTATCGCATTACCATGGATGCTGTACTTGACAAAATTCCTCATGGAAAGAAGCTTACCAATAATGTAAAGAAGTTGATCCATGACCAATCCAAAGACCCCAAAATTAAAGAGGAAGGTGAAGAGAGTGCCAAAAGTGGTTTTGGTAGTCATCTCTCTTCTAAATCCTTCAACAAGCGCCAACCATCAACCATGAGGACTACATCTCTAAATGCATCAGCTAGTAGATATTCTCAGTTGTATGAAACTTGTTTTAATAGTGAAATCAAATATCCTAAGGCTGAGAACTTGAGATTGAAAACTGAAGAGAGAAGTTCAGCATTAAAGACCTCAAAATCCATTAAAAGGTTTCTTTCAATGCCTAATCTTAAATCTTATTTCCACCACAGTGAGGAGCCTTCTGTTCTTTCATCCCCCCAGAATTCAATTGGGAAATTTGGTGATGGAACCGCAGGCACATGTGTCACTGATCTGCAAACGGGGTTTGATCATAGTAATGACTCAAAGAGTCAATTTCTGCCCCCTACACTTACTGATAGCTTAAATCAAGAAAGCAACTTGAATGCTGACCAAAAGCAGCTTCTTATCAGGAGTGCTTCAAAATCGGGATTTGATTTTAGTAATGAGGCCATGGCAGATGAGATCAAAGGAATTGATCATAACTTGAGACAGAGTGAACTGGACATTGGAGGTGAAACAGAGTCTACTACTATGCCAGTAGAAACAATCTCAGCCTTCTCTTCTGACAGCAGCTTCCTAGATGTTACATTTGACCTTGAGAACTTAAACATAGAAGGTATTTTCGGTCCATTTCATGCTCTAAATATTTTAATACATCATTAAGTTCTTACACTTGTCTAATAGTTTTATACGCTGGAATGAGTTGTGTTCAGGTATAGAAAGGATGGTGGTGTGGTGAAAATGTTTTAGGCTTTTAGCATACAAATTGCTGTATAAGTCACATGCTTGGAACTGGAATGGACTTTTATTTTTTAAAGTGTTGGATTGTCACTATCAATGTGGAGGAAGTCCTGTATTTGTAGTCCCATTTCACATTAGATACTTGGAATGCTTAAAGTTTGTAACGAGGAATATCGCTTTAACTTGGTGTTTCTGCGAATGATTGATCAGCTTAAATATTTTACTTTGAATTGTTCATTTATTTTCAAAATTAAATCTTCAAATTTCCTATATAAACTTACAACCTGAATGTAGTTACACGGCTAGTCTTGTAGATTCTACTTATATTGATTCTTAAAACAACCTGTTACTCTCTTCTTTGGTCCTTGTCTTATTTGACTCCTCTGATGTTGATGGTTATACAGAATCAGATACAGAATTAAAGCCAGGGCCAGATGATGGATTGGATGGTATGGCTGAAAAAGAAGAGGCTAAAATGGATCAATCTGAGTTGGTTGAGAATTTTCAGAAATTGGGAGCTCTAAGCAAGGAGTTCAACTATGAAATTCCATGTATTGAAGTGGATGCAAGTAATGAAGCTGCATTTAATTATGTGAGAAAGGTTTTGGATCTCTCTGGATTCACTGCCCATGATTCTCTTGGAATATGGTATTCTGATAACCAACCAGTTGATCCTTCATTATATGAAGAATTGGAGGGATGCTTACTTCTGGATCCTGATTGTTCAGGTAATAGTGATGAAGGTGGACAATGTAATCATCTGCTTCTGTTTGACATAATCAATGAAGGATTGTTGGAGATTTTTGGGAGATCATACAATTATTATCCAAGACCCTTGTCTTCTCTCTCCCATATTCATCCATTACCATCAGGGGACAGGGTACTCTATAAAGTATGGACACTTATTAGCTGGAATCTGAACTCACCAACAACATTTGAGCTTTACCCATCGTTGGATTACTATGTGAGCAAAGATCTAGCAAAATATGATGGCTGGATGAATTTACAATTTGATTCTGAATGTGTGGGACTTGAGTTAGATGACTTGATTTTTGATGATCTTTTGGAGGAATTAATCTACACCTAACACAAGTTATTTTGCTAGCTTGGTATTTTCTTCGGATTCTTCTGCTTCTCAAACCATGATTAAATTTTGATGTAAGATTTAATGTAGCTTCTAGTGGTTAACCTTCCTGGTGCAATTCCTTTTGGGAGTGAATAATTTGAGGAACTTGTACATTAGTCATGCATATTGTACAGCAGAATAGTTGTCCAAATCTTTCACTAAGCTATACAAAATTCAATATCTATACATAGAATAGAATTATTATAATCAATGACTGCGATATAAGTGGAAGTTTAATCACCACATAATGTGACCGAGGGTCTATGCTGATGAATAGAAAACCATGTTTTCTTGTTCCACCACCGTATAATTAGGAAGAGACAAATGGTGGGGTCAAAGCCCCACCTAGACAAATAATGAAAGGACCACCAACTCTTCTTCATCTTAGGATCATGACTCATGAGGTTCCCGGGAAAAGGTTCTAGAATGGATCATTCAGCCTTTTAGTGATAGGAGCAAAACTAATTAGCATTTACCAATTTCAAGTAGGCTTCACTCCTTTTTATTTCTTGATGTTGGTATAAGGGTATTTCTTGTCACACAGGCTATATGCTTATCAATGTTTGTAAATTGAGTTATGCTAATTTTATAATAAATTTTTATAACCAAATCATTTATATCTCTCTCTGTCATGCCATTTATCTAATCACCGCTTTCTCTCTTTTCTTTTCTTATCACTCTCTACCTTACAAAAAAACTAAATTGCACATTTATTACACAAATATAGTTTATCTTTAAATTAAACTAATGAATGGAACATTAATAATATTACTCCACAATTCTATTAATTCAATCGTAAGTTAACTCTGATTTATATTAGTAATAACTGAAGATATATTCTTTAAATATTATACAGTATATTTAACATAAATTCAGATAAAATTAGAAGGAAACTAAACTAAATAAAATTTTTAATTAACATAAAAGATTATATTATATGTCTTATAAGATTAAAAAATTATAATAATAAATGGCTAATTAATAGTAATTCATAAAATAAATATGATATAGAAGATTTTTTTTAAATAAAAGGATTAAAATATTGTTAAAAAATAAACATCCTAAAAATAATGTTTATAAATTGACTAGCTCAACTCGGCTTTACATTATTTTTGGATGGCTTTAACTAGTTTGTGAACAATTTGACTGAATTTTAACTCCTTTAATTATTGAGGTTATCCAAACTGGTTGTTTGACCGATTCTCAATATAATTTTTAGAATAATAGTGCTAATGTAACGTCCTCATTTCATTTTTCATTTCATTTTTCAGTAAATTATATTTTTGTTAATGTTAAGTGGTAATAAAATGCATTTAGGTATAAGTTTGGAGGATTTTTAGAGGAGTTTTGGTGCAGAAGATCTCACTCAGGTGAGGTAAATTTCACTCAGGTGAGGTAAATCTCGCCCAGGCGAGATTGAGCGTGTAGAAATATTTTGTTGCAAGGCTATCTCGTTCAGGTGAGATGATTCTCGCTTAAGCGAGATAAGATAAATGTTGCCCAACTGTCACCTCGAATCCACAAAAAAAATAGCATGCTCTCTGGACACCATCTCGCTAAAGCGAGATGGAGCTTGCTTAAGCGAGCATATCAGAAAATAGTGGGCGAGACCACTGTTTACATATTTGACTCAGGCGATAGAGCCGTCGCTCAAGGGAGATGTCATCGCTCAAGCGAGAATGCGCGAGACTGAGGAGTATTTAAGAGATTTCCTATATGAAAATCTCATTTGTTTTTGAACTCACGCCTATCTCTTCAAAGTCAAACTTGGACATTGAAGCTAATTGACTCTAAGTAAGTTTCTTCAGATTAGACTTGAGTTTCTCCGATTGTTTTCTTATTTTTGTTTCTTATGGATATCTCTTAGTATTCAGGAGAACTTACATAGTTGATCTTCAATCTTTTTCAATATCTCTCTGTGAGCTCATCTTTGAGGTAAAAATAGCTCTATTTTATCATTATAGTATAGTATTTATTTTGTGCTCATAGAGCATAGTTACATGAATATTTTATGAGATATCTTTTGTATGAATAATGGGTGAAAAGATGTTTGTTTGATTGTTTGGTTGTTTGAATTAAGTGGTTGAAATATATGTGTATACGTATTATATGATGAGTACTTAATGTGAACGATGATTGAATTTGTTGAATGATTATTATGTGATTGAATGGAGTATGTATGAATGAGATGAAATAATTAAGTTTGAAATTGTACCTATATTCATGAGGATATGAGTGGAATGGAATTAGTCTAGAAGTGCTTTATTAAGCACGATCTTGAGACTAAGAAAGAGAATAACTTTGAGAATGACTCTAAGAGTCGGATTTGGATTTGATCTAGTGTGAATAGTTACAGAGATACACTAGGGGTATAGAGTCCAGAGACGATGAGAATCTAGGAGAAACGTAGGGTGGTGAGCGATATTCGCATATGTGTACACACTTTTTGAGAGCGAATACGTCACATGGCCTCACTCGTTTCTGGACTAGACTTCTAACTATGCTTTTGCTAAAGGGCCCGATTATTGTACATGTTGTATCCGTGTGCATAGGCTAACCAATGACTCTTTACCTAGTTGAGTAAGACCTCAAGAAATGCTGGAGGCATCGATATTTGTGATCACAGTGCACTGGGAGTGCTTATTGAAATGAGAGAATAAATAATCGATAATAATTTGTGAATGATGTGTGTTTGAATATGTTTGCTATGTGAAATTAGTGTAAATATAGATATGTTGTAATTATATTATAAATTATGATTTTGTGAGATAATGTTTGCAAATGGATAGAATAGACACTTATCCTTATTGATATTTTTTGGAAATCAGGATGATGGAGACTCAAGGAAGGATTAGATTAATAGATAGTTCTGTACAGTTTAGGTTGAATTATGTATTTAATGAGTATTAGAGAGTAAATGTAACATTCTCATTTTTTCTCCCTTCCATGTTCACGTGTGTAATGCGATTTCCCTTTTTTTTTCTCAAAGATAATTCAATGTGTTTTACGAAATTTTATGATTTTGGTTAAAGAAGTTTTGATATAAAAGTATTTATTTTATTTTGTTTAAATAACTCATTGGTATATGTTTGATAGAGATAGATCTCAATGCTTTGGATTATTTAGAAATCCCATAATTATATTGAGTTCCAAATGCTATACGCACTAGCAGAGGCAGCGTAGTAGTAGAAGGGTTAGTCCTTAGTCAGAAGCTGGAAGTCTCTGGTTTCAAACCTCAGCAAAGGTAGATTTCGCTTCAACAAGTTTTTTTGGAATGAATTGCGAAATGACTAGACTGCCTAATCAGAGGGCAAGTGTACCCATCGAGAAGTAATAAAGGGTTCTTAAATTAAGTTCCCGAAATATCGTCTCACAAGGATTGATTTCCAATTACTAAGAATTTCCTAATTCAATTGTTTAAGCTTCAAAGATACGAGATTAATTAAAAATAAGAATTTATAAAATCAATTATAAAACTAAGAGCAAGGAATACAATGCACGTCTTGGTTAAATTTATCGGAGAGGAACCTAAGGCATATGGGTTTTCTCATTCAATCCTTTATGTTATTTTTCTGTTTAACTCTAAATCTGATTTCCTTGTGATTACCAATCATTCATACGAATACTATTAATATCCAATGGTCATGCAATATCAATATTCTTTTCTCTAAATTAATATCCCTAATGATCATGCAAGACATTAATTTAAGAAAACTTAAGGAGTTTATGAACTTGTTAATTTAATAACGATTAGAAGAGAAAGATTGGTTTGGTCCACCTAATCCTTTGTCTCATTTTACCCTATAGATCTATTAATTAACCGAGGTACAGTCGCCTGACGATATAATTAATTAAGATTAAGAAAGAAGTGCAATAGGATAAAATCTAATCACAAAACAGAAATCAAATTTAGATTCAAAAATCAAAATTCCATAAATTCATGAATAATAGTTCCCATAGCCCTAACTATGGACTTAGTTACTCATGCTAAAGTAAAGAACTAAAACAATAATAAACAAAGCCATAATCAAAAGAAATAGCAAACTAAAGTATGAGATGTGTTCCTGGTCTTCAAGTATGATCGATTGAAGCTCCAAGTCTCGCCAAGCATGTGCCAAGGATCCCGTGCAAGAGAGACGAGATTAGATGTATTCTAGAGTCAAAGCCAAGATAAAAATGTTCCTTTACGATGCATGAGATCTTCCCTTTTATAAGATTTGAAAACTCTAAAAACTCTTCATAATTTGGGCTTCCTGCAGATGAGCAAGACCGTGCAAAGCCTTAAGCACGACCGTGCATGGGCTCGAAACACCCCGTGCTTATTGAATGGGTCTGGGCGTACTAACTGCTGCGAAGCTCTAATCTTCCATCAATTTGGGCCTAGAATGTACCCAAAATCCACTTGCGGCCTCTTTATACCAAACTGCACAATTAATATATAAATTAGTGTAAAATCTAAATAAAATAAAGGTCAAATATGAATATAAGGGCTGTAAAAGAGGGCCTAATTACAGACTTATTACTGCCCTCAAAATATCATGCATGCATGAGATAGGTGGCAAAACCATAAGATAGGTGGCGATAAGTGGCAAAATGTGGCGAGCCCTTACATGCGTGATGACATGTGGCAGCCACGTGTCAAAGAAGGAAAAACCCTTACCTGCATGATGACATGTGGCATCCACGTGTCAAAGAAGAAGCCCTTGCATGCATGACGCCATGTGTCAGCCATGTGTCGAAGAAAGAGAAGCCATTGCATGCATGATGCCACATGTCAGCCACGTGTCAAAGAAGGAAGAAGCTCTTGCATGCGTGACGCCATGTGTCAGTCACATGTCAAAGTAGGAGAAGCCCTTGCATGCGTGACACATATGCAGCCATGTGTTGAAAGCTTGACAAAACCAAATTCATTCTTTCTCCTTCATGTAAACCTTTCTCTCACTCTCTCTCACAGTTTCTCT